TTTTTGTATGTTTATAATGTTAAGCTAACCAGGTCTTGAGAGCTCTTGAGAGTCCCATCGACTGCAAGAAGATCAAACCTACCCATTCTGAAGGAAATCAGCCCCGAGTGTTCACTGGAAGGACAGATCCTGAAGATGAGGCTCCAATACTTTGGCCACCTCATGAGAAGAGAAGACTTCCTGGAAAAGACCCTGATGTTGGGAAAGATGGAGGGCACAAGGAGAAGGGGACAACAGAGGACGAGATGGTTGGACAGTGTTCTCAAGCTACTAACATGAGTTTGACCAAACTGCGGGAGGCAGTGGAAGACAGGAGTGCCTGGCGTGCTCTGGTCCATGGGGTCATGAAGAGTCGGACACGACTAAACGACTAAACAACAGCAACCAGGTCCAGCAGCACTGGCAGGAAGATGCACCCTGTTGCAGGCCTAATTCAAGGAGCCCTTTTACTGAACCTGTTAGACAACCATGATTATCTGGTTTATTTTCCTTTGGGTGTCAGGCTAGTAGAGAGAGAGTGGAGGAACAAAATGGAGCTTCCAGCAATAAGTACTTGATTTAGCACTTATTTAGGAATGGTAGCAATCAAATGTTGGGATGCCATTTGTAACTGTTGTTCAGATGTGGGTAGAGAGGGAAGGTTAAAGAGATTTTTGGCCATGGCTACAAACACAGACGAAAGCCATTTTCAGAAAAAGCTTTTGAATTCCATCTTAGCTTTTTAAACGAGTGCAATATCTTTTCAGTCATATAGATATTAGGTTTACTGTGCACTATAGCAGATCCGGATATTATTAATATTGCATTCACCTTCCCGGCAGAGCTTAAATTTTATCTTCTTGGTGAACTGCTTTACAAATTAACAGGGTCCCAGCATGGAAAGCAATTCCAGGCAAGAGCCTGAAACACACATGAAGATTCCTGCATGCAGCAATCACACACACACACATACACACATACCACTGCATGTATGAGTATTGGAAGAGGAGGTCCATGTAGGATTAACATATGAAGCAGGAGCATGAGAAAGCCTTCCAAAACATAGCATATACAAACTAAGCAATAATAACTGCATTGCATATTTCGTATGCAAATCCCACTGTTAACGTAACATTGAATCGGCACCGATTTTTAAGAGTTGGCAAGGAAGAAGAACCACAGGTTTGTATTCATTCAGGAAAATGCATAACAAAATTCGGAGACATGAGTAAGCTTTGTGGTTTCATATGCAAGAAGTTAGCAAATACGAAGCATCTGGGAAAGCGTGCTGGACATGCAGTGATGGGAGAATGAAAGGAACGGGGGGGGGGGGGAACAGCTTCTGGCATCAGCTTCAGATTGTGGAGATGATTAATTTCAGAGTCTATTACCAACCTCTCCTGCACCCCATTCACTTTATGAGCAAACCACATCACAAAAAGATGAATCAGATCTGAATGAACCAAATAAAAACAACATTGATTGAAAAGTTATTTTAAAAAATAAATAAATAAGAGCAAATCTAAAAAGAATGGATAATCCCAAGGGCATGGGAAATTCAATTGCTTAGAGCCATTTTAATATTTATGCTTACCCCCCCGCCCCCAGTCTGAATTGTAAACTCAGTTGATATTCATTGGCTGAATCATGAAGGCTATTCATTGGCATTAAGAGAGCTGAATCATGAAGACAGAGGTCTTTCAAGTAAGAAAGTGGCCCACAGCTAATAGGGACTCAGTTGACATTTCATACTTGACAAAAGTATGAAGACACACAAGAGACCTGCACTGACATATAGAATGAATTTGGGAATGATAAGGTGGCCAGGCAGCAGATATAACCAGTCTTGCCTAATTCCATGTATACTTTTTAAGATAACGCTATGATGGGAATCATGCTAAATGTAGCTGATCACATTCATCAGGCATGAAGAGCAAAGGAAGCAACACCCAACTTGGTAGTGACCCTCAGTTCTGGTAGGCTACATCTGCTGCCATCTTAAATAGGATTGCACAGCCTCACTTAAAACACCTATGGAACAAGCTCAATTGTACTCAAGTGACAACTGGCAGGCTCCCTGAATGATCACAGCTTGGGGAAGCTCATGGCGAGTATGTGGGGTGGATTGGATCTAGGAATCTTCAACATGGGACTCTAGACATTTAGAAAAATCTTTGGATTGATTGCACAGCACTTTTCATGATAAATACACCTGAAATTCAGACCTGGCTGTACTGCACAAACCTGCTGCGTGACAGCGGCATGTTAAAGCTTCCGTTTGAATTGCATGGTAAAAACACTCAGGCCTGTTTACAGTGGCATTGCGTGGGGACAGGGCACAAAATTTCAACACCCAGTGCTACCTCAATATAGCTGTGTGCTTCCGTCGCTGGGGTCCATTGAGAAATATTCTCCATGTGAAACCAGGAAGTGAAATTTCTAGACAATGGAACAACTCTTCTTTTCTTATATCTGCGGCTACGATCTCCTGGGTGACGCAGTTGCCATTAGGCAGCTAAATGCACATGTGTTCTCTGTCCGTATTCCTCCCACCCACCCCACCCGGGCACTGGCAACCCAAGCTATGCCACTGCACATGTGGCAATATTTTTGCATTCTTTCCTGATGACTGTCCTTGAGCTTGGTCCTGTCTATCTGTGACCATGCACAATTCTCACGTTAACCAGAATTACATGAATACACAGCAATTGTGCTGATGTTGGCACACTTGTACCTTTGGGGAAGTCACAGGCTGCAACCCTCACTGTAATCCTTATTCACTGTAGCTCTGTCTTATCCCATAGCCATATATACTTGTGCTTCTGCTTCACACAAGACTATGGGAGGTGCCATAGCTCAATGACAGAGCACATTCTTTGCATGTGGACGGTCTCATGTTCAATCTCTGGCATATCCTGCTAAAATTATCTAGTAGCAGGTAACTTGGCAGACAGCTTCCAGAGTCCCAACCAGGTGGTCAGAGCAGATGATAATTGGCTAGATGGACAAAAGGTATGACATGTTTTAAGGTAGCTTCCCATGGTCTTTGCTCATACCACAAGCACATGGAGAAAGGGATCATATGAAGGGGATTCTGTGTTGATGCTACTGCAAGGATGACATGCTTCTTAGGGGCAGCCAAGATGCAAGCTATGTTACTTTAATGTAGGTTGCCTACAGAAAAGTATCCTAGATATTTATTGCCAATTGAATTACAGAATCAACAGTAACATGTCACTTAGAATGAAGAGAAAAAAGGGGATGAGTAATTTAAAAGCAAATGTGTGGCCAAGTTGATCCAATAGGATGTATGATAGGTGCTCCTTAAGCATTTTAATCTCTTTTTATTGCCATTATAATAATTAGTCTTTTGTGGAATGAGAATACATCATTACAGGAAAGGGTGATATGTTACTAGGACAATAAAACATTGCTACCCCATAATACCAGATCCCTAGTTAATGGGTGAACCATTTTATTATTGATTGAAAAAGAGGAACTGTTAGGTTACTGTCTCCAAGTTATATCGAACCAAAGCAAACTTAAAGCTGCCTTGAGTTTGATTTTATCATCAAAAAGTGGGAGGTGAATTCCCAGATAAATACCCTTTGCATTCACTGTCTGTTATGAAATGTGAAAAGCCTACTGCAACCAGAATCCAAATCAATTTTTGAACAGCTTTCTAATACACCCGGTGGTTCTTTTCAACATGATTAACAAATGTATATTCAATCGACCAGCACTTGGCATTTAATTAAACGTTAAGAACTGCATGCTGAGTTTCAATGAACAATTTGGAATTGAATTGTCAAGTCTTGCCATTTGGGACTGAAATAGAGTACTAATTGCACTTTGCCGAAGGTAAACCTGCTATTATTTCTAATAACTGGCCCACTAGCCAGAATTTTTCAGATACCTGAATACTGTGGTGAGCAGTGTTTCCCCAGAATATAGTACACTTAACAAAAAAAGAAAAAAAAGGAAGGAACAGGAATACAATGAGCAAGGTGATTAACTACATCCATTGGAACACTTCCCTGTGTACCCTATGTACCTCACTTCCGTTATAATAGCTTGTAAACCATAAATATCATTTTGATTTGGATTTTTTTTTTGCTGAATATTGTCACTCAGGGACTCTTCATGCCACCTATCTCAATCTCCAAAGGGCCAGGCAGTTCTAATAAAGCATGACGTTATTTATTTGAATGTATAGCATGTTTCCTCCTTAAAGGAAACATATAAACAATACATAAGAAGTTGTCTTGTGCCCAGTCAAGACCATTGGTTCATCTAGGTCAGCACTGTTTAACCAGTCTGGCAATAGCTCCCCAGGGTTTCAGACAGGAGTCTCCCCCAGTCCTACTTAGATAAATTCAGGGATTGAATCTGGGATCTTCTACATGCAAAGCATGTGTTTGACTATTAGTCCTACAAAAATAAAAAATATAAAAATAAACATATAAGATACAGTGGTGCCTCGCAAGACGAAATTAATCCGTTCCGCGAGTGTCTTCGTCTAGCGGTTTTCTCGTCTTGCGAAGCAACCCTATTAGCGGCTTAACGGATTAGCGCTATTAGCGGTTTAGCGGCTATTAAAGGCTTATAGGCTTAGCGGATTAGCTGCTAAAAGGCTATTAAAGGCTTAGCGGCTTAGATAAAGGGGGGGGAGCGGAAAAAAAATCTCAAGACTCGCAAGACATTTTCGTCTTGCGAAGCAAGCCCATAGGGAAATTCGTCCTGAGAAGCAACTCAAAAACGGAAAACCCTTTCGTCTAGCGGGTTTTCCGTCTTGCGAGGCATTCGTCTTGCGGGGCACCACTGTATTTTTTAAATCCCACAAATTTTTGTTTAAAAAAAAACAAGCAAAACTGCTTACCAAATGCTGAAAAATAAAATCCTTCAACAGCTCGAATCCAATGTCTAAAATCCAGTCCATACAGAAATGTCTTACAATACTTCTAAAATGGTGGCAAGGTTTAATTACATGTGGTCCTGAGTGATTTTAGAGATTGCAAGGCACTCTGGATAGCTCAGTCGGTACAGCACGAGACTGTTAATCTCAGGGTTGTTGGTTTGAGCCCTGTGTTGGGTGAAAGATCCCTGCATAGTGGGGGGTTGGACTAGATGACCCTTGTGGTCCCTTCTAACTCTGTGTTTCTATGGACAAAGGCTTATCTTCTAAGCAGAGGTGGTACATGTGGTGTTATGAAGCTATGGAGTCAAGCTGGAAACCAAGGTGTTCCTGGATGGGGCTGGTGAGGTTGAAGTCACATGAGTGCACTGTCTGGACCACTGGATCAGCTGGTGGTAGCCCTGCTGGTGCAAACATGTTGCCCTGTTGACACCCTCCCCAAGCGTGAAGCAGCAATACCAGTGCTGGGAGGGCAACTCCACAACACCCACCTCTACTGCCTTTAAGCATGTCTGAGACTCCAGGCACTCTTCCCCATATCCTTCATGGACCACTGTTCTCCCCAAGCCCTAGATTCTTATCCTCAGAGCTCAAAATCTCCTTGCTATTCTTAAGCAGAGAAAGTACATTTTGGATCCCTGAATGCCTATCACTTTGGCACCCCAAATATCAGAAGATGTATGTGAAGTGAGGATAAACCTTGGAAGCTTTATGTATATGATGCAATCCACTTAGACTAATTTTTTCCTAATGTATCACCACGCTATTGACATATGTAAGAAAGGCCTACTTTCTCAATGTCTTAGCATAAGTTGTTTTTTCTGAGAACGTGCTGTCCTTTTCAGGATGAGAACCTACATTCACAGCTAAGATGGGCACAGTCCATTAAGGGAGACCCAAACCCAACTCGCTGTTCAAAGAGAAGGCAGGCTTTCTGGCACGGCCACTATCATTAAATATGGAGGCACAGAATTCTACTAAGGCCTTGCCCAAAGTGTGAAGCAGAATTCAATGTAAAGCCCATTTGAAGGAAATTAAAACTTCAGATGTCCTCAGTGTCTTTCAGGAATGCTTCAGGGCAGTAAGGACACCTGGGCTGAACATGAACTAAGCCTTGGCGCTTCTAGCGCAAAACCTTGTTGTTGACCTATACCCAACTGGGCTGTGGAGCACAAAAACCAAATCCAGTGGCGTTAGAGGAGCGGGGAGAAAACCCTCCACAAATAAAGCCAATAAAATATATCCAGTCATATAAAAAAGCTAAAATTGGGCCAATCGTTGTTTTTTTAAAAATCAGCTCCAGTCCTTTGGTTTCACAAGAGAGGCATTGGGAAGTCACTCCTGGAGTGCTCTCAAAAGCTGAGTGGCCAAAACCCCTAAAGGAATGTAACACAGAAGCAGTTCTTAAATAGTTCACTGAGATTTTCAAGGTAATTGAATATCCTCGTTCCTAGATGAGCTCGAGGCTGCAGCCTCTCACCCGTGGCTGTGCGTGCAAAACTACACATCATGTCTAGTTCCTGAAGTCTTTTCTCTGAAGGCTCTTTTATTATCAGGTAAAGCCTCTGATAAAAGATGGAACATGGGACTGGTGAGGGGAAGGGGGGGGGAAGGGGCTGTTTAACTCCTTCTTTCCCAGACATTGATTTAAAAAGTACAGAGGCCTGTGCCTTTTATATCTTTGGGGAGAAAAGTAGTTTGGGGGAGAGCAACTTTGAGTGAACAAGCAGCCGGGAAGTAACTGGTTAAACAAACATGAACACCCATCTTCTGCTTTACCTGATTAAAAAAGAGACAGAAGGGAGGGGACAGGAGTCATGAAACTACATGTAACATAAGGTTCGCCCTTAAAAGTTATTCTAGACTTTAGGGTTTCCATCTTGGAAGGAAATACACAAATTCCTTGTGTGGGGAAAACTATGTTATGGCCCCATGAAATATAGATTTCCCATACCCCTGAAACGTAAAAGAAACCGCACATGGAAATTTCAACTTTAAGGAAGACGCAAAAAAAGGGAAAGAAGAGGCTTAGGGAAAAGGAAAGCTATGGAAAAAATATGGCAAAGTAGCAACAAGTTTAGGAGTATATTGACAATCCCTTTACCTGATGCTGTTACCAGTAGGCTGTCTGAATCACATGGTCTACAGGATGAAGCACTAACAGGGTTTATGGAGGAGCTACAGGCAATGGTGGTGGGAATGACAAAGGAACTTTCTGAACATGCAGGTTGGTTCAGTCCAGGGGATTGGGGAGGCCAGGCACCCACCTGAGACGTGGCCATGGCTGGTATGGCACAGCCTGCAGATGCCACAGATATATCTAGTGTTGGTTTTGGTGGCAGCTGAGGTGAGGACTTAGAAATGACCTCCTCATTTATTACCCTGATTCCTTGAGGTGAACTGGAAGGAGGTGAGACTAGGGTTTTGCTGTCAGTTTTGGCACCTATATTAGGGGAGCGACCACTATCCATAAGGACTTTAAGCTGTGGGTGCGGTGGAGATGGAGTCTGTGAAAGGCCTGGCTTTTTGGGAGGAATGGGTGGAGGGTTTCCTCTGTCAATCCTCGACACACTGGGAGTCTTTAAACCCATTCTACCGACTGGGGGAGGATACGTGCCAACGTCTATCGAATGTGACATTCCCGGCCGTCCAGGCGGAGCGCCCTGAGGACTTGTGAATCTTGACAGGACCTGGGTGACGGTATTCCGAGCTAGCTGCTTGGCAACTAGGTTGTCTCGACTCGTGGGCGACACGTCTCTCGATGGAGGGCTTTGGGTAGTGTTTCCATTTTGGTCTTGGTCGTTAGCATTGGTTTGAAATCTAAACCTAGCTGCCTGGACGCGTGGATTCAGACCTTGATGCCCGGTACTGCCAGCGGATGGAGAATGCAGAGAGTGCATAGACGACGCTTGCAGGTAGCTCTGAGGTGCTATACTGGGTGCTGGAGAGGGTGCAATGTTATTTGGGAAGGGGGAAGGTAGATTGGTTAAGTCAGGCGTTGCATTTGGTCCGTTCTCCTCAATTCTGCTTTGGCCTTGAGTCAGAATGGGAGTTGAGGGGGACAGGAGCAGGTCATTACAAGAAGAATGCCTGTCCATAACTGGCTTCACAAAGCCTGCATTGGAGCATACATTCATCTTTGTGTGGCCAGAGAGCAAAGGGTTGACAGCCGAAGGCTTTACCGGAACAGTTAAAGGCAACTTCCTAACACTTTCGGTTCCACCATCTAGCAATGCCGCGTCTGTCTGGCAGGCAAGCGTTCTCAAAGCCGGTCCCTCTGTTCCGACAGATACAGAAGCGGAACCTCTATCTTTGTTCTTACGCGGGAGGGAAAGGTGCAACTTACTGTCGTTCTCCTTTTTCAGCTGCTCAATCATTTTTCTCATCCTCTCCCTCTCTTCTCGGAGGTCATAGGTGTGCGCTTCCTCTCTGCCAAGCCTGGCATGCAGTTGCTCCCTTTCGGTGTCGAAGTCAGAAAGCTGCTTTTCCATTTGGGCTTCCATCTGCGCACTCCGCTGCTTCTCAACGGCAAGAGATTCTTCCAATTCGCCGGCTTTCTTCTTTTCTTCCTCGAATTTTGCCATGACATCTTCCAGCTTCTGGGCCTCTTCGACTATTCGACTGGAGAGCTGTTTACATTCTTTCACTAACATCAATACAACTTGTTTATTCTTGCCACGCTCCTCTTCAAGACGAGCACATAGTTTCTTATGTTCCATTTCGAGCTCTTGCAACTGCGATTTCTCCATTTCCAGCTACAAAGAAATGCAGAACAATATCTCATTACCATAAGGGTTGGGCTTTCCTTTTTTTTTTTAGTCTCAAGTAACAGAAATCAGTTGTATTTTATGTTATTAAAACAATAAAAAACTATCTTTAAGGGGACCTGAATTAGACATTTTCTGGGCTAAGTTATTTGAGCCAAAATGTTGCTGTGTCTCTGTTTTCCAAACAGGTTAAATGAAAACCAAACTCATACTCCGTTGTCTTGAAAATGCAAACTGCTCACTTTTTTTGTTTATTGTTAATGGGAACAACTACTTTGTTTCGGCAAATATCAGAACTATGCTTTTCGCAACTGACACAGTGTCAATGGACTGAGTGGTACCTCAGGTTACATACACTTCAGGTTACATACGCTTCAGGTTACAGACTCCGCTAACTCAGAAATAGCGCTTCAGGTTAAGAACTTTGCTTCAGGATGAGAACAAAAATTGTGCTCCAGCGGTGCAGCAGCAGCAGGAGGCCCCATTAGCTAAAGTGGTGCTTCAGGTTAAGAACAGTTTCAGGTTAAGTACGGACCTCCGGAACGAATTAAGTACTTAACCTGAGGTACCACTGTATACACATCCAAAGCAATATTATGTAACTTCAAACAGTCATGGCTTCCCTCAAAGAATACTAAAAAGTCTAGCTTGTGTAGTAGTAAGGGAGCTGACCCTATTTCTCCTCACAAAGCTACTATTTCCAGAGTTCCCTGGGAAAAGGGATTGACTATTAAACCTATATGTGTGATTGGTAGCTGCCAGTCATCAGAGTGTTGTTCACTTGAGTATTTTATTAAAGGGTACCATTATTTCAACAAAATCATCTGTATCAGACATCCTGCAAAAGAGGCATCAAATTAAAACTATTTTATGGTAATCAAGAACTTTCCCTATTTGCATGAATCAAAAGCATCACGCACAGGTGGCTCAATGGATTTGTGCATTGGGCTGTTAACCAAAGGGTTGGTGGTTCAATCCCACCTCAGGGACAGGATAACTGCATTGCAGGGGGTTGGACTAGATGATGTTTGGGGTGCCGTCTAACTCAACAATTCTATGAGAAGTCATCTGTGAACAAATAATGAGGGCCAGTGTATGTGTATTGGGAGACGGCCATGCCAAAAGGAATGAGTGGGACTAGAGAATGCTAGCATCTCATCAAGATGGCTAAAGGGTGCCAAATAACATCACCAGCATGCTGGACATAGATCAGCAACTACGATGTACCAGAAACTCTGATGGTCAGATATACCAATCAGCAAGCTTGGAATTCTGAAATAGATGGGACAGAATGTTCCTTCTATTTCCATGCTTGTATGGCCAAGATTTATTCCCTCTTAGAAGGAGAAAAATACCTGTTTCCTGCCCTGTAGCTATTTCAGAACTAGAAGTCCGTGAAACTGAAAAGCCTCAAACTTTTGACTCTTGACTGAGGATCATTATACAGTGGTCCCTCGGGTTAAGTACTTAATTCGTTCCAGAGGTTTGTTCTTAACCTGAAACTGTTCTTAACCTGAGGCACCACTTTAGCTAATGGGGCCTCAGGTTAATTTCTGTTCTCATCCTGAAGCAAAGTTCTTAACCCGAGGTACTATTTCTGGGTTAGCAGAGTCTGTAACCTGAAGCGTATGTAACCTGAAGCGTATGTAACCCGAGGTACTACTGTACAATTCAAGAGCATGTAAGGGGAAGGGCTTAGTTGCATGTAATAATCAGTGTAATGAAATGTGATCTTCATTCTGACCACAGGCATCCCCTCTACCCCAACCCCCCCCTATAAAATAATTGCACACAGGGTTAGTCTGTAAGCTGATAAGAGAAAGCAGATAAAATGGTTGCAGTCCAGCATTTGTGATTACTACAGAGGCGGGGAGGGTTTTACATTCCTCTAGATGCTAAAATCATACTAATTTCAGAGTTGTAAGAAGATACTGTATGGTGAGTATATTTCATGTACGCTGTAATCTGGGGAACCAGATGGCCCAGAGGATTGGTAACAGGAGATGGAGCATTTCATCTCTAGGTCAGTGGTTCAATTTTGGCTTTGGTTGCTAGCGAAAGGAAAGTCATTATGAACTGGTGACTTCTGAGTGGCCTGCTGTTCACCAATAGGATTCTGTGTCCTCCCTCCAGCAGGGAGGAAAACTGATAGTCTGTTGGACAGCTCCTCCAAAGAATGTTGTTGTTATTTGCCTACACTCCCTTTTTCTAATAAGACAGCTTCTGCTTTGTTTCTTCGAAAACTTTATAAACAAGGGATTAACAGCAGCTTTGCTGTCCTCCCCACCCACTCTGAATAATACATCTTTTATGCTTAGCATAAGTAAAACAGGAATCACTCTGAAAGTGAAGTAGCAAGGGAATAATACTGCATATCCAAAAAAGAGAAGAAGCTGACTCTACAGACTGCCTGGTGCTTGGATGTGCTTAAAAACAAGAAAACATTTGCTAAAATTCCAGGGATTTATACTTCAAGTCAATAAAAGTTAGCTATCATGATGGCATGTTGGATCTGCAATCTTAAAACTCTTCATCTACCGTATTTTTTGCTCTATAAGACTCACTTTTTCCCTCCTAAAAAGTAAGGGGAAATGTGTGTGCGTCTTATGGAGCGAATGCAGGCTGTGCAGCTATCACAGAAGCCAGAACAGCAAGAGGGATTGCTGCTTTCACTGCGTAGTGATCCCTCTTGCTGTTCTGGCTTCTGAGATTCAGAATATTTTTTTTCTTGTTTCCCTCCTCCAAAAACTAGGTGCGTCTTGTGGTCTGGTGCGTCTTATAGAGCAAAAAATACGTTATTTTCTAAGATCTGGGAGGAGAATGGTGTGGCAGGATAAATATTGGAAGAGGATATTTCTGCTTTATATCCAGCAACACACATCCCCCAGAGTCACTGAATTACAGCCTCGATCACTAAATTGTCTTGAATTAGCGACTGGAAAGAGCTAATAGCAAAATACTTGGGATAATGAAGGACAAGCGAGCATGTGAAGCAGCATCATGGCGGTTATCTCAAGCGCACGTTCTTGACTAGGCCTCAAAATATGAGCCAAGTACTTGATTCAGATATGACGCAATATAATGAGAAATGAGATGTGGTTTAGAATCAGGTGGATTATCTGCCTTAGCAAACAAGGGGTGCTTTTCAGGGGAAGAACTCTGAATAGCTGGAACTGCTCTGCGCATCCACAACAGTGGCCAAGTAACAGTCCCAGGATATGCATTCATTGGTTGTATTTCTGCTTCCACATTCCTCAGGGTGGTTTCTCAAAACGAACAATTCTAATTGCAATCCATATCACAACAACAACAATAAACTCCTCCATGCAAATTGGAAAGCATTCGCACTGTCAGGATATTTTCCAGAACCGCAGAAGAACCCAGCCTTCTTTTAAACATTAATTAAGTATAATGCTAGGTGATGGAAAACACATTTGCCCCTTTTCCAAGAGTGGCAATATATATATATGTTTCTACCTTGGGTATGCTAATCCATGTTAAGCATGTACAATTTTCACATTATAATTCCTTCCGCAGATTGTCAAATTGACAAAGTAGTGACTGGGAAGGAAGCAGGGGTGATAAAAATAGAGCAGGTAACTTTTTATTTTTAGTGTTATTTTGATATGTTTACAAAATAAAGTTAAGATACGTGAAAGGGGCAGGGAGGCCTTTGCAGTGGTGGGCTAGATAGGCTGTATGTTTTTATCTTGTCTATACCTTTAACTGACTTTTTCAGCTGCCTTTTTATTGTATTGTTATTTAAGATTTTATTTATTTTATTTTATTTTTTTAAAATATGGATTAGTGGCATTTTTATACCGGTTTTGTTCCTAAGGATAAGCTGCTCTTTTTTTAATTGGAGAGGAAAAGTAGACTACATGTTTTGAAAGATAAATAAAGCAGATAATGTATGTGGAACTGTTTGGTTTAATGATGCATTTCTTTTGCTTTATTGTCTCGTTTTCAGTGCACTGTTTTAATGTACACCACTCAGAAATGCAAATAATTAAATAAATAAAACTAGCTAAATGGTTCGTTATCTCCCTTCAACCTCTCCCTACTGTGAATATATTCAAATTCGAAATGATTCCAGATGTGTACATCTCAGATTATGCCATCCGCTCCCTATAGCAGATTCTGCTAAAGGAAGCAGGATGGGCCATTCCCTCATGTTGCATATGTGCTTTATAATATGTTTGTTTTCTAGATGAGTCAACCTGACTAAGCTACCTACCTTTCCACTTCTTTGCCCCAATACTCTTATGGAACCTGCTCCCAATTTGTTCCTTCATGTCCCAGATTTTCATGTCCATCTAGGCCGCTAGATCCCATCTTGCCTACACATACCTTCTGATTTTCTTGTACTGCCTATCCATGCTTCCTGTCAACACTGAATCCTATCCCAACATCAAACTGTTTGCCAAACCCAGCCTTAGTTCTCTTAAGCTAGCCTCTCATGGTCAACTGAGACTCAGAGGTGCTGCCTTCAGCTCCTGCAAAACTAGACAAAATCTATATGAGTATTCTCTCTCTGATCAGAAGAAACTCATCAGAGCATGGGTACCCAGCATAATATCCTCTGGATGTTGTTGGACTGCAGCTCCCATTATCTGCTAACCATTAACCATGCTTGCTGGGTCTTAATAGGAGTCCAAAACCGTCCAAACAGCACCATGTTTGGCTACCCCTCTATCATAGGGCTAAAAAAGAAGTCAAGCCACTTGACCTCCTAGTAATACTGTAATACATCTGTCTCCAAGAGTATGAATCACTGTACGAAGCATGTTTATCTTTAATTACTTGGCAAAATGTATGTAAATAAAGTCCAAAGGAGGGTTTGGTTTCAGGTGTCATGCAGTTGATCCAATTACGTCGAGTTGTCAGCCAGCAGCGGCTATATTGGAGATATTGAGCTATTGTTAGTTCTTAGCTTATAGTAAAGGTATACTCTCAGCCACGTTTGGGAAACTAGCAACTTTGCCCCACATTCAGATCTTGTTCTGTTGGGTTGCCATCTGATCAGAGAAACTGCAATTGAGTAATCTTTTGAGTGTTTAGTCAGTTCATCTATCTGTTGGGCAAAAATATTGTTTCTGCAGTAAAAATAAAGGTTTATTTGGTTTAGATTTAGAAATGCACACACGTCAAAATCAGACATAATCTCAACACAGCCACTCCCTACTGGGTGCAAGTGAAGGGAGAATGTCTCTTTTAATGAAGGCATTTGCCCTTTGATTTAAAGAAACATTTTTTACATCTGCTACCCAATTAACTGGGCGCACCTTTTCAGTTGATTAAAGGTAAAGGTAAAGGGACCCCTGACCATTAGGTCCAGTCGTGGACGACTCTGGGGTTGCGCACTCATCTTGCTCTATAGGCCGAGGGAGCCAGTGCTTGTCCGCAGACAGCATCCAGGTCATGTGACCAGCATGACTAAGCCGCTTCTGGCGAACCAGAGCAGCACACGGAAACGCTGTTTACCTTCCCACTGGAGTGGTACCTATTTATCTACTTGCACTTTGACGTGCTTTCGAACGGCTAGGTTGGCTCACCGTCGCGGCTTCTGGGAGAAGGTGGGTCTGGAATGCTTTCTAGTGACAACGTGTCAGCTAGTTGCTGCTCCACTTCTGCCTCTTGCTCCTTTCCCATTATTTCCTAACTTTTCCCCTCATCTGCCTCTGAGCTGTGACCTCCCTCAAACCCCTGTTGTAATTCTGAACTGTCTTCCTCTTCTCTGGACAGGCCAGGCTGGGGAGGCGGTCTCTACCATTCCTCCTCTGCCCAGTCCCTGACACTAATCAATTGATCTAAAACAGGGGTACCCTACATGGTGCCCTCCAAATATTTGTTGGATTACAACTCCCCCTTTTCCTGATCATTGGCCATGTAGGCTGGGGCTGATGTGAGCTGTAGTCCACCCAACATTGGGAAGGCACCACATCTGCTACCCATGATCTAACCAATTAATCAATTAAATGTTGCAGCCCT